CTCTCAAGACAGGGCCAGGGAAACAGGGCCATGCCAGTCCCCAATCTCATTTTTCCCAACACTCCAATCCCTTCCTCAACCTAGTCTAAAGAGACTGACAAGATTGTCCTCCTACCCCTTTGTCTATTGTCCCTCATTGGGAAATTGGTTTTTTTAATCCTAAAGAAACAAAGGCAGCAGCAGCACCATTGTTAGCTGATAAGTCCCCTTTGTGCAAAAGCACCCTAGCACCCCTTTCCTCAAGATATTTTAGGGTCATCTGCCGGAGTTTTGTTACAACAAATATATAAATGTCTAGGATGTTAATGAAGCCTCTCCTTAGACATGGTGCACTTGTGCAATACACAACCTGCACACCTTTAGGACTGGCAGTGGACACCAGAGACCTACACGATGGGCCTTACCCTGGCCTGAGTTTAATTTAAAAGCTGGAAAGAAGGTGATGCATGGAAAGAAGGCATCTGATAAAAGTCATGGTAGGGATGGAGATTCCCTCACCCTTCTGTGTGTGGGAGGAACAACCAGCTATTGAATGGAGCTGAATAATTGTCCAACTGCATTGAAGAGCAAAATCATAGGTGCCTCAGTGCCTCCTGCCATCACCCATCCCCACATCCCTTGGCAAGGGCAGGCAGTGGAGGTTTGAGAGAGATGCTTGCGCTGTGCTCCTGCTTGCATCTTGGCTCCACACCTGGGGAAGGCCCATGACAAGGGTGCCCCCTGAGTGGTGTTCTGGGTCAGTGGGAGTTTGGGATCTCATCTGGTGCCTTTTCATCTGACTGCTTACCTAACCAAATGTTGTGGGCTCAGAACACACTGCAGAGGAACATTCTGTTCCAGACTGGCCATCTTTGCTTCTCTCTTTGTCAGGAGTGGGAAGAGAGAAAGAGAAGAATGAGAATGTTTTTTCCTTAACACTCTCTGTTCCATTTAGCAAAGCCCTGCTCACGAGGCAGAGGAGCCTTCTAGAGAAATCCTCTCCTGTACAATTCCTGAGTGCGGACATTGCCCTGTTAACGCTTGTGGTGCAAATTAGAAAGTTAAGCTGCCTATAGATAAATTGGTATCAAGTAGCGGTCAAAATGAAATAGTGTTGGAATAATTTCCAAGTCAAACAATACGTGTTTAGAAATAGCTATGAATACAAGCGATTGCAGAAAAATATATTTAAATCTTATCATTATCCATAGTTTTGTTCTCCCTTCTTCACCATTTCTTGATTTAGATCTTATCACCCCTTACGCATATTTTATGAACTCCCTCAAAACCTTTCTAGGAAGAAAGAGAGCTGATATGGATAAAGAGATCCTGACCTTGTCATCCAATGCCTACCAGCCCACGTGGGACTGTGCAGCATAAAAGATTTTTTTAAATAAAAGACAATAGCAGAGCTGTTTCAGGGCCAGGGGCTATGGTCACTTGTCCAGGGAAGAATATGTACACAAATTGCTTTCAGTTCCCAGAAGTGCAGGATGGGTGAAAGTCTGCTGGGAAATCCAAATAAATAGAGGAGGAAAGAAAGCTGGATGTGAATGTTTGGGCAGAGTAGGTAGGGAGAGAGGAGACAGAGAACTTTCTAGAAGCAGAAAGTCTATGGAGAAACTCAAAGAGGAGGGAAAGCTTTACATTTCTTCAATTGCGATTAAGCCAGACAGAGGGGTGGCAGACGAGTTCAGAGAACCAGGAGAGGAGGGGGCACACGTGGAGGAGAAGCACGGGGAAGACTCGGGGAGGTTGGGAAAGGAAAACAGTGTCAGGGCTTAAATGCTCAGCAGATGATGCTCCATAAATGACGCCAGAAGGTGCTGGAGAAAGAACTGAGAGAAAGTCATCGAAGTGTGTAATAGGAGTGTTTAAAAACACCTAGGAATCTATGTAAGCACCTGTTACTGGGTGCCCGATTGTCCCTCTGATCTCCAGCTCAAGGGTTCTCTCCAAAGCCACTGCAACTGCGCAGCAGCAGACCTGGCATCTTGGCATCTTGCAGTAGGAGAACTTGGCAAGCAGTGTCGGCCGCCTGGTTTAGGATTCTTGCTGAATAGTTGTCTGCAGGTTTGTAACTATGACCTCTCCGATGTGGGAGCCAGAAAGAAACTTTTCCCCTGGCTGAAGCTGGGAGGAGGGACTCTTTCAGGAATCCTCTAAGGTAAACCAACGCTGACTGAAAGGGGCAGACGTCGGAATGGTGGCAACTCCCCATGTCAGATACAGAGCTCTACGTACATCATTGCCAAACCTCATTGCAACCTTATAAGGAAAATAAACCTACTGCACTTTCCAGTGAGGGATCTGAGGTTCAGAGACGATGAGTAACAGACCGAAGTTTACACAGCTAGTAAGGGACAAGGCAAGGATGCAAACAGGCCTGTCTGACTCAGATTCCACTTGCTTTGCTCTACCTTGTGGATACCATATAGCAAGGCTGTATTTTGTGAGTGGCACTTAAGGTGTGGCTTTACAGGGAACGGGGAAGAGGCCAGGGAGGGTGGAGGAGGTGGCTCTGCCAAGAAGACTTGAGACTCAATACACACCCTCAGTCCGTGCCCAGGGCCACTGAAGCAGAAGGCTGCCCGGGTGCCGTGCGGAGACGGCTGCAGGATGAGGTTTATAAATGTGTGTTGATGGCTGAGTTCATCAAGTTAATTAATAAATTAATGAAAGGCAAACACTGGGCAGAGGTTGGAAATATTGCATGGTGCTAGAGTTCACCAAAGTACAAAGTTTGATGTTAGACTTTTTGGACAAGTTATTTCAAGTGTGTGAACCTCAGCTTCCTCATCTGCAAAATGAGGATAATGGCATTTACCTCGTAGGATTTTTGTGATGGTTAAATGACTGATATGGATAAAATGCTCAGCAGAGTGCCCAGCACGTAGAGTGAATGCTCATCCGTTCGTGCAATAGAGTGAATGGTCATCCGTTTGTGCAATTCTTATCAGCATCAACGTTATTACTATGAGGGATTGTAACCGATCTGCATAAGGAACTCATAGGAACACTGGCATGATTCCCTTCATTCCTACAGCAGGCCCTCAGACTCTTCTCCTGTGGATTGTTTTTCTCCTTGAGGGCAGCCGTAAGAGTTGATTCTCCTTATTGTACCAGGAAAAAAATGTTGGGAGGAGATTTGCCTGAACCTCAAAAATTGAATCATGAACCTGGACCTATGATCTCCCTCCCAGGCCCCAGATACACACACCCTTAGCTGCAGCGGGCCCCTGGAGGGAGGGCATCCCCAAAAGGACAAGGAACCTTGTGGTTTGGCGGGTGTCCAGTGGGTGGAGCCAGAGAGTTGCCTGGCTGCCTTGCTGACCCCCGACAAGAGCTATCAGCTCACCCAGGATAGGGGGAGGCCCAGACGAGAGAAAGACCAACGGTGTCTGCACAGCTTTCTGTGGGTTGTTTGTTTGTTTGAATTCTGTGCTCATAGAAGTGCAACTGAGTTAGTTGTATTTCCGAACAAGCCACGAAACTGAAATTTAAGAAGAATGGGGAAGAAAGGGATTTTTCACTTGATATATGCATTCCTCTGCTATGGAAGTTTTGCCTCTTAACTTTTAAAAAGCAGCAGTTTGTCCCAGGATTCTCACCTGGAAAAAGGTGCATTCCTGGGAACATTTATATTTTTGTTTTCTCCTCACTGGAGAAAAGGGCAGGTTGGTTTCCAGAAAACCAACTGTATACCCCTGTCCTCCCAACTCTCGCACCACGCCCCTTAGGACTTGGCTGGATTCTTACACCTGTGTAGAAGCTGTGACAAGTATGAGAAAATTCCTCTCCAGGAGTAGTCACTTAGCTCCAGAGTTCACTGTCTAACAACCCATCCCTCAGTTTTTAGCGTAAGAGACACTCTGTTGATCCTTTTCAGTTACAAATCTTCCCCAAAATATTTCAGGGTGAGGGTAGGAGCTGGAGGGAAGAGCGTGGAGAAGAAAAAGATGAGCTTGAATAGGATAATTGCTGGGCAAAGACCTCGGAAACCGGCGGGAACTACGGCAAAGCTGTTGGCATGGAATCAAGAACAGAGAGAGAGACAGACATCAGGTACAGCCCAGGGGACCAGTTCCTCGGCAGTGCTTTGGCGTTGGTGCCTACAGTGGGCGGAGAAAGCAGAGTGCTCTGATATGCAGAGTGGGGCTGTGAGTATAAAACTGTAGGTGCCTCTCCAGGCACTATCTCCTCGTAAGCAGCCTCTCTTCCAATAGAGCCCAGAGTGGCTTTATCAGCCAGTGCCTTCTGCCACTGGGAAGCCAGCTGGAGTGTGAGTACCCTCCTTATACCTATTTGTTTCCAACTGTTCCTTCTTGGGGGGTTGTCCTTCTAATTTTGGCTCTTTTTCCCTTTTCTTTTTTTAATGGAGAAGTATGTTGCAGATGGTCGGAACTGAGCAGAAGCAGCAAAGTCAGAGTTCTGGTAGACTAGAAAGCAATTTACCAAAGCCCCGGGCTTCTTCCCAGAAGCTTGAAAGCAATGTCTTTGTTTATGGTTGAAGCCAAGTGGAAGCTGAGGCTGAGCTCCATGTACAAGACAGATTCCAGCAAGGACTCCACTTGATGTGCTAAACGACTCTGAGTTCATCAGTGCTGTATAGTTTTGAGCTGTGTTCTTGAAATAGTTAAGTAAAGTTGGAGACTTCAAAAACAAGTGGCGTACTGGGAATGGTCCTTTCCCATTACGGTTTAATGGACCTTTTTGCATGTGCTGTCATGCTGAAGGGAGTGTACATGATAACCATCTGGAGAACTGGTCGGCCACGCTGAAGCCACAATTGGGCAGCTGTTTGCAGCTGCTTTTTCTGGTGTGGAATTCAGACCTCGAGGCTTCTAGGAGTAGTGTGTTCCGAGAAGTGTTTTAATCAGGAGACAGGAATATCTGACAGCATTTTCTTTGTTTCTGATTACAGCTTTAAAGAAAACTGAGTACCTCCCACCACTTAAAATCAAAAACTACCTAAAATTAAGATTATTGTAAGTACCAAATAAATGTCAGTGCTGAAAGTCTCTTTATTATGATAGAACATGAATGTTAAAATGCTTTCTTCTGTGTCAATGTCCAAAACTTTGTACTATTTTTAAAAGTGATACTTGAGACATAGAAAATTAAAGACTTTCAGGTTTCTCCAATTGCACAAATTTCTACTATATGCTGACAATAGAATGAGTCTTATTTCATGCAATAAAATAAGGAATGTTGGTTGAATTGAAATCTCGATATTGCCTCACATTAGAATGATGAGTACTGCTTGTTTCACTAGTGATCTGGGCTACCAAAAGTGCTTTCTGACTCCTGCTGGAAAGCTCATCAGGTGCAGCTCCCAGAATATTCTTAGGATGTTAACTTCAACACACACAGGCCCTGGTGTGAATGTGTCAGCCACACAGGAGAGTGAGGCTCACTTTGAGGCATGGGAATATGTTTTACTGCTTCTGGTAAAAATTAAACAGAGGAGGGAGAAAAGAAGAAATATCACACACACAACTTTTCTGGAACTTCTGAAGGGAGAATGATATCCTTGGATGCAATGGAAGTTTAAAAAAAGAAAAAGAAAACATAAAAAGTTATCACACTCGTTGAATTCAACTAAGAATTGTTTATTATTAACAAGGTGATATCCAATATTTAACAATTCTTATTCACATACAAGAAAAAATGCCACTTAGCAGTCTCTTAGACTGGGCTTTGGCTGTGCATTAAAAGTGTGGCAGTATCTTATTGCAGAAAAAAGACCCCACACTGTGCCTTCTTCTCCTCGCATTTGTTAAGAATGAAGCTGAAGGAAACTGCTGCATTAGCGCTGGTGCCCAAGATGGAGCCCCAATAGTTAGCCTGAAGCATTTCAGAGCCTGAAGCCCAGCCCCCTCCTCTGGAAGAGGCTTCAGATCTGTCAACCTCCTACTAGTGGAGATGCGCAGCAGAACTAAATCTGTGCGTTGGTCTCAGTGTGGGATGGTTTGCCACCATTTTTTGTTTTGTTTAAGCAAAGTAAAATAACACTCAATGTGTGTAGTCAGCTGGTTGTCCCTCTTTGCTGATGGAGCTCTTTGCTGATGGAGAAGGCTGCCTTCTCTGTTAGAGGTCTTCGTCTGGGGCCACATCTCCTATCCCCAGGAACCCACTGAGTGCGCTGCGGCATCCCTCCGTCTTGCATTTCACGCGCTCCTCAGAGCCAGGGCGCGCGTCCTGCTGATTCATGTATTTCTGCCCTTTGTCATGTATGGAGAGAAAGGAAGGATGAATGGACGGTCTTTGATTGGCGGCGCTGATGATGCCCCTCCTGGTCCTCTTTGGACAGACCCTTTTGGAAATAAAGCTGTTGAGGCAGCGCATGAAGGCTTCGCCCGGCTAAACTTGACCCTGGCCCATGGGCCACCAGAACAGGTACGCTTCCTTCGTGCAGCCTCTGTCTCGGGAACCTCGTGGCCTGCGCTCCAAGCTCTGGTGTGTCTTTTCTGAATAGAGCATGGGATTAGGGGTGCTCAAGCTCTGCTGAGTGGTGAGGCTTGGGCTGAGCTGGATGCACAGGGGCCCTGGTCCAGAAAGTCATGTGGCACTCATCTTGGTTTAAATGGTGGACTGTTGAGCTGCAGCTAGGAAAACGTGGTCTAGGGTTTTTAATGCATCCTGCTTCTATTTTATTAGACTTTCTTCCTTTTATTTTATTACCCTGTCTTCTTAGTTGAAATTTAATGGCCTCCTGAGTCAGGTTTGAGAAGTTTGAGCATCAGTGGAAGGTCCCTGCTCCACTGCCTTGCACTGCAGTCCCAGTGAGGATGTGTGAATACTTATAAATTCCCCAAAGAAATGCAAATAGTCTAGTGTGACAAAACTCTAGAGTAAACTACAACTTTAAATTACTGGTTTCTCAGAACCAGTTCTCATGTCTGAGTTCTGGAACAAGTAGTCAGGGCTTCCAGGCTGCAAAGGGTTCAGCACTTCAGCATAAATGGTTCCTGTGGGCTCAGCAACAGCAGCAAAGGTCCACATGACTTATCTCAATAGGCGGATATTGGAGAGACAAATCGCAACAAGCCTTCTATATGTTGGGCTGTGGTTTCAGACTAAAATACTTCAATCTTTATTTACCTTTGGGTGGCTCGGCAGGGAACTCTGGCCATTCAGGTTCTCAGTCACGTCTGGCCAGTTGCATTAATCAGGTTTCATATCTGTATCTCCAAAATCTCTGAGGTGATGATGTATTTAAAACCCTCTAAAATAAATGCTGGAAAATTTGAGAATATGAGTTTTTCACTCTGGAATAACCCATATACCTAATTGTTTCTGTAGTTGGTGGAAAATGCCACTTTAATGTTTTCGTTTGCTGCTGCCTCTGTAGGACTTAAGCTACCTAGTTATGGAAACTCAATGCAATTGTGTGTATCTGAGCTGCTTGCCCTTGCCCCAGCTGAAGCCTGATGCCTCTCCTAAGTTGGTACGGCTTTGAAAATGAGTCACCGCACTGAGGAAAGGGCTTACGAGCAATATTTTCAGTGATGAGATTTAAAGAGGGACATATCTGAAAATAAATGATAGCCATCGTTTAGATTATGAAATAAAAGGCAATTTTTCATCATTGCTTAATAATTCAGTTTAACTATGGGCCAGCTGAGCTCCATATGGACTTAATTTTGGTGTCTGACCTCCAGCAGTTTTCAATTTAAGAATTTCTTAGTTCTGGCAGAGAGCATGGCGAGAAGCAGAGCGCGGCCTTCTCTCCCGCGGCCCTCCAGGCGCTCAGGCCGCAGGCCAGCGGGTGAGCTGGGGGGCCTTGGAGACAGACGGTGGGCTGTGCCCTGCAGAGACCCAGAGCTTTCACCGCACTGCCTACTGGCCAGGCCCAGACCTTGAAGCAGCAACAGCGAACCTCTCCCCCCATCCCCACCTCTGTGGCCTAATGGCAGCCATGTCGCCAAGCCCAGAGCCTGCCAACCACCTGGTATCGGAAGAGACATGGTAGAAAAATAGACCACATGTGGCCAAGAGGAAGTGCCCACCACCCTTTGGGAAGGTTTTCTGGCCCTTTATAGAAAGCCTGTGTATATACTTTTAAAAAGCTGCTCTCAACTTGCCCCTCGACCTTTCAAAAGAAAACCTTTGCCACATCTAAGCCTTCTAGATGTAAAGAGGCTGCCAACATAGGATGAAGTAGAGTTAGAGAATCACACATCTTGCAAATGCTTATTTGTTTTCCTAAAAATCGTAGAAAAGAAATGGCTTCTAGAAATGACTGTTTGAAATGGAATTGTTAGGCCACGACTAGAAGTGACGTCAGGAGTGACACACATCCAAGTTTCTTCAGTGGGTTAGAGGACACAGAATAGAGGACCTTGAGGAGGAAGAAAGGAAGGTTCTATGCCAGAGTGGCCATGGTTAGAAGGCATTTTCGTATTATGACCATTGTTTTGTGTGCGCATTTTATTCCTCACTACTATATATATAGTTGACAATGCTAAGTACTTTTTTGAAATATCTCATCTTTCTAGGTGTTCTGAAGTGCCTGATATAGGTTAAAACTAGAGGGAGTAAAAAGACATTTTGTAAATATCTTTTTGTCAAAATTCATGTGAAATATTGCTTCTTTTGAGGGGAATGGCCAAACCCCCTCTTCGAACAGTACACAAGTGTTTGTGCACTGGCTCAGGGGAGAAGGAAGTGGAAAGAGCTTTATGCCAGTGTGTTTACAGTGAGGCCAGATTAACCGTTGTCCCTTATGTTTCTGCGTTTGGTTACCTTGCTGTGTAGGTAGTATATATCGTAAACCAATGAGTCCTAATTTTGCAATGTCTAGTCTCTAGATGTTAAAAGAGGTTGCCAGTGTATGACAAAGTACTTAGTAAAATTAGCCCATTTTGTACACTTTGTATTGAAATTCATAGGAAAGCTTGTCTCCTGCAAACGACTTTTGGATATGAATTTGTGAAACCACCTCTAAGCATTATATGTACTTGCACTTGTCCACTGGATTGGTGGTGGAGAGAAGGAGGGAGGGAGGGAATGATTCAGGCCCAAATGGTCATATTTAGAGGATATCTCAGATTATAACCATTGTTACGTGTGCAATTTTATTGAACAGTGCTGTGTACATAGTGGGCAAGTAAGTTCTTATGTGAAATATCTAGACTTTCTACATGTTTAGAAAGGCACAAAGTAGGTTAAAAGGAGAGTTAGTCAAATACATTTTGTAGATACCCTTTTGTTAAATTCATTTGAAATACTGTCTTTTAGAAATGCAATGATCAAAATGATCAAACTGCCTCACTGAGCAGTACACATTATTACATTTGTGCTGGTTCGGGGAGGAAGGAAAGAAAGTGCAAAGGGCTTTATACCAGTAGGTTTATAGTTAGGCAGATTAACCATTGTCCCATATGTCTGTGCATTTTGTTTTACTTAGCTGTGTATATAGTGTATAAAAGACAAACGTCTTAATTTACAACATCTAATCCTTCTAGATGCTAAAGAGCTTGCCAGTGGATGACAAAAGTAGAGTTAGAAAACAAATATTGTGTACACTTTGTGTTAAAATTTATGGGAAAGACTGTGTTCTGAAAGCAACTTGAGGAAGAGAAATTGTTGAAATCCCCTCTAAGCATTACAAATGCTTATTATGCTTGTCCACAGGGTTGGTAGAGATGAGACGGCGAGGGCTTCTAGGCTAGATATTCCTATTTAGAAGATACTTTCAGATTATAGCGTTTGTGTGCAGTTTGTTCAATGCTGCTGTTGTCTGGTGGACAAACTTAAATCCTTATTTGAAACAGGTAATCTTTCTAGATGTTTAAAAGGATACAACATATGTTAAAAGTAGAGAGTTAAAGGAACACCGTTTAAGCATTTTTTCAGTTAATTATAGGAATGGTTGTATTTCAGGAAGGGGATTGTTAAACCTGATGTCTTGGAGAGTATGCTGACTGTTCACTGGGTGGTGGGGGAGTGGCACAGGAAAGGAAGTGTCTAGAGAAGCGTTGTGTGCCCGTGAGTCTTTAGACAAATTCAGATTATCTAACCATTGTTCTATATGTGCATTTTAGTTAAGATTTCTGTGTATTAAAGGATAAACAAGTCCTAATGCCCAAAGTTTATTAAAAGTAGAGGTAGTAAAGTAATCCTTTTCTAAGTGCCCCTTTGTTAGCTTTTAGGAAGGGCTATCTCCTAGGTGTGTCTTTGTTAATCCACCTCTTGGAGCTAGATGTTATCCTACACTTAGTCTTTGAAATGGCGGAGGAGGGCGATGAGAAAGGATGGAGGGAAAGGCTCTTTGCTTGCATCTCCATATCTAGAAGACAGTTTTAGGTTATAACCGTAGGTCTATATGTGCGTTTTTGTAAAGTACTGTATTTATTGTGGACAAGGTTCAATATTTTGCAACATCTAAGCTTAGTAGATGTCCCGAGGTGACAATGTGTGATAAAAAGTAGAGCTAGTGAATTAATCAATTTATAAATATCTTTTTGTTATAATTGATAGAAAAGAAGCATCTTGGACATGGAATTGTTAAACTGTCTCTGAGCAATGTCCCTCAGGACTGGCTCATTAGGTTGGCAGCAGAGGGGCTGAAGGAAGTACAGAGGAAGGGATGTGTGCGGATGTGTTCACATTTATACTTGGATGATAACCATTGATGTGTGTGGCCTCTTTTGGCTGTACTGTAGGAATATATTGTTAGGTAATTCAATGGAAACATAACTCCTTGCTAATATTTTAATAGTGTAGATCAGATAAATTCTCTTAAAAGTATTATATTTTGTATACTCTGCTGCTTTATGTCTCTCTTTTTCCATCTGTAGACTGTGGTAATCAGGTGCTTTCATTGCTGTGCTTTTGTCTCACTTTTAATTGAACTTTAAGGGAATGCAGTATTTTAATTGTTAATTCTGCCAACATCTTTATCTAGAGGACTGTTGCCATTTTTGTCTCCAAGAAAGGCAAGATTACATTTTTTTTCTTCCAGTTTGAGTTGGTGTGGTGTATTCTTGGTTATCAAAATACTCATAAAGCTTTGGGACTTTGAAATGGTAAATATTCATAATGTCTGAAAAAGCATGATACGTAACTGTGCAATCTTAATTACATAAAAATGGATGTTTAGTTGTGCAGATAAACACACAGGACCTAGAAGGACATATCAAACTGTAAACTTCTTATGATTAGGGATGACTTTGTTCATTGCTTCTCGTGTTTTTCAGTTTCCTATTATGCACATGTTAACTTTTAAAAAAAATAAATATTACTTTAAAAACAAACAAAAAAAAGAATTTCTTAATGCAAAGGTTCATTGGAAGCCTCCCAAAAGCTGGTGTCTAACACTATTTTGCCAAAAATAAATGAGCTTGGTCTAGAATACGTTGCATAAATAGCTTCTGCTTTGTGTAATGATTAATGGTTTGCCATTGTTTAAAAGCAGGATGGTTAGTTGGGCAGTAAAATAATACAGCTGAAGTGTAATTGTTACTCAATTAAAAAATCAGTTACCCACAGTGATTTCTGAACCAGGATTAACGGAAGCCAAAACTAGAGTCAAGGTTGAAAAAAAATAAGACATAACTTTATTATCTATTAATAGCTATTTGTTGGCTCTGTTAAAAGGAATCATGATGGAGCCAAAAATAGCCATTAGAACTCCTTATTCACAGCCTGTCCAGAGGGAGAAGATGAGCTGGTTAATCTTCGAGGGCTCTGGGTATTTCCTTGGTCATGTCTTATGTGCCCGTAGCTTCAACATTTCAGAATTATGCCTTCTGGGGTCTGACGGTTTTGTTGTTCCCCTTTGTCACACTTACTTGGCTATGCTCTTGGCTTTTCTTGCACACTCAAGGTGGTTTTGCCATTGTCTTTCATCCTTCGTCTACCTCTGGGATTACATCATTGGTCTTCTTTTGTATCTACCATCAGCACCATGAAACCTTCATTTTTGTCTCCAGGGTGCCACATTCTGGTGATGTTGGTGCTTTCCTATTACATACTTCTCGTAAGAAGAGAAGGGGCTCGTAGTGAACACAAGTCATGGTTCTATTGTTAGCATTTTCCCAAGGCATGCTTACTATAGTTATGCCCTGTACTTTCTTATATCATACTATCCTTAGATCTCAACTCTTTGGTTTTCAACAGCTTTGTGCACTTCTACCTTTCCCAGTTTCTACACCTTTGTGGAATATTATTCTTGCCTGTTTTTAAACATGTAAATAACAAATTCCAAAAATAAAGAATATCTGAGACAGTTGCCTAATGTGAGGACATATTCAAGCAATCTTTGAGTTGGAGAGTGTGGATGAGGGGGTTTCTTAGGTTGTCTTGACACACAAACTTTTTAAAATTTTTCTTTGCTTTCAAACTTTTAAAACCAAAACCTTTTATTTTAAAATAAAAGCTTAATTTCAGGAGGCTGCTTGTCTTGGAAAGTAGCTGATCAGTTTGCGTTCATGAGCAGGCCATTTTGTAACCTTATGTCTGGCTCCTTGAATTGATGGCACGAAGCTTAAGGAGTTGATCTTAGCTCTGTCTATATTATTATTTGACTCATTATGTTAAAATTAACTATTTTTCAATCTTTTCCACTAGACTGAGCTCTTGGAGCGCAGGATTTGGTGCTCAATAAATGTTTGTTGAACTAGAAACTGAACCTTATGAAATTGAAAACCGGAAACTTCTCATGGTAGCAGTAAAGACAGTGACGGCAAAAGTAGTAGGGGATTTGGGTAATAATCTCCACGGTGTTATTTCAAGAGGAAAATGTGCTTTCTTAGTCCCATGGGATGTCAGGGTCCAGATGAAGTGCCTTTAGACCTATCATCTATGGCTACTGCGACCAGGCCCACAGCTGACCAGTTTGGAATGTCCTATATTACGGTGTTTATGAGCTCTGTTCTTTCCTCTAGGAATCAGAGGAAGAGATGGCCATGGAGGACAGACCCACTATGATTAAAATGGACCAAAGTGAAAACCAGGGTTCACCATGTCGAGGGAGCAGGTGCCTCCCCAAAGCGCTTGGCTATGTCATGGGTGATATGAAAACATTTGCCAACTGGCTTAAAGGTATTTATGCTTCCTTTCCAGGAGATGGGAGAAGTGGCTTTGGGGGAAATGGTTTGCTGGCTCTTCTACTCATATCTTTAGTTATATTTTTATATATACTTAGTTATATATATAAAATATATATAAATATATATTATATATATTTAGTTATATATACCTTTTATCTATCTCTTTCCTTTCCACTTTTTAACTTTCTACTTTCTGACAGGCAATCCTCTTCAAGTGTTTTTATGTAGATGGGGTCAGGGCCAGGGTCCTCCTCATATCAGAGGAAGGTACTTAGTTCCATTCTGTAATTTCAGTACTTAAAAACTGAAATTTTACTATTGGTAATCCATTGGTTTAGTTTAAGCATCTGTACCTCTGAACATGATAAATAAGTGCCTTCGATGCTTTCTGGAGCTGAAGTTCTAATACGGGCAGTGTGGGCTGAGCGTAAAGAAACTGGGTGCCACTAAAGGGGCAAAGTGTACAGAGAGCTTCAAGGAATATCAAAAATAAGTTGATCCCTTCATCAGAAGGGATTTTGATGATTTTGCTCTGGGCCGGGGGGCGGGGGGCCTAGACTTGGGAAGGAGTACCATTTGCCTTGCCACTTCCTTAGCTCTGCCCATCTCATCTCTTCCAGACAAACCCCAGGTACTCCAGTTTGTTGACTGGGTTCTTAGGGGCATGTCCCAAGTGGTGTTTGTCAGCAACCCCATCAGCGGAATCCTGATTGTGGTGGGACTCCTGGTCCAGAACCCCTGGTGGGCTCTCAATGGCTGTGTGGGAACGGTGGTCTCCACCCTGACGGCCCTGTTGCTCAGTCAGGACAGGTAGGCACATCCATCCAGGCCTGCTCTTCTCTCTTCTGAGAACACAGGAGCCAACCAGTGAGTGTGGGCAGCCGCGATAAAGCCCCGCCCTTCCAGGAGAAACAACCTTTATTCCACAGAATTCTTTATATTTGCCTTTAGTGAGAGGTCAGGGAATCGTTTATGGTCTCTTATTCATGGTATCTAAATAAGTGGCTAGTCCGAATGTTGCCAGATTCTCATGGCAGTACGTGGTAACCAGAACTAAGCTATAAATAATCCCCAAGAGAAGTTCAAAAGGGCTCTTCTTTAATAATTAATCAATTATTTATCATCAGCATTTTGTTTGTTTGGGCGAAAGTGCATATGAGTTCATGAAATGCCTCAGAGGGTTAAAAATGCCCCAATCCCACTGTATTTTGTCTGCATGCTTAGTTTAGCAAATTCATTCTTCATAGCATAGACAGTGCAAAGGTTAGGTCAGCTTCTAGAGAGCTGAATAACCACAAATTCCCAGTTAGCAAGTGCTGACTTAAGAAGTGTTAGTGTTTCTTCTGAAATATGTGTTAGGTTAAAAATAGGCTGAACTTGGGGCCAACCCCATGGCTGAGTGGTTAAGTTCACACTCTCTGCTTTGGCTCCTTAGGGTTTCCCTGGTTCGGATCCTGGGTATGGAGTTAGCACTGCTCATCAGGCCGTGATGAGGTGGCATCCCACATAGCACAACCAGAAGGACCTACAACTAGAATATACAACTATACTAGGGAGCTTTGGGGAGAAGAATAAAAAATAAATAATAAATAAATAAAAAGATTGGCAACAGATGTTAGCTTAGGTGCCAATCTTAAAAAAAAAAAAAATAGTGTGTACTTTATAAATTGAATATCAGCTGTCATTGAAGAAGTGATGAACTGACTCCCACCAGGGTCTAGCCAGCTCCTGACTAACTGGTTCCTTCAGGGAGGCTGCTGGTCTTCTATGTGTCCAGGATCAATGCATAATCCCCAGTGAATGGTCATTATACAACTAAGCTCTTGTCGCTCTTACTGTGAGTTGCTAAGGAGCTTCTTGGAGAGTCAGGAAGTGCCCCACTTTCCATCAAGTCCAAGGAGGCTGATTTGATCTCTATGGAAGATGATTTTGTATCTTAGCTTAAACTCTATTCCAATGTACATCAAGAAACGGGATTTCCAGTTTGAAGGTGTGGTCCAGAATTGTGCCATATCGAATATTCCTTTATTGTTTTGCTCCGGTGAGAACTGACCCATTTTCCTTATCAGTATTTTTTAAAAGACAAGTCATATTTGTATGTATTAGTTTTCAAATCTCTTTTGCTTTCCTTGGTCCTAAAGCACTATTAAAATGGCAATCTTCTGTTTTAAGTGAATCCACATCTTCCTGTTGTTTTAACTGTGACATTCCACAACTTGTAGATGTTGCCATTAATTTTTTGTTGATCGAACCCAAGCAGTAAATCGGAAAGTCAGTAGCAGAGAGGACAAATCTTTGCATAGTTCTCCACTGTCATCATAAACGGTCCCAATTTCTGGAGAGCATTATTACTTCCTGGGTTAAACCAATACAAATTGTGTCACCTCCCACATGTCCCAAAGGATTATTTAAGGGAGAGAAAGGACTTTTGAACAGGGGGTCCCACACTAATGTTCTCACCCAGATGAATATAAGCGATATTACGTTTCTGTGGCACTATGTGCCCCCTGCTCCAGTTAAAAACAAGCCAAGGAGAAGCTTCCACACATTCCTGTATGACTCCCGTGGTGTGGCCCACTGGCTGCATCACCTTCCTCGCAGGCCCTGCATTCGCACTCACCCACTCGCTTCACCATCTTTACACCACATGGCTCCCACACACTTCATCCTTTAGTGCTGGGCCTTTCCTGGTGCCAGATGTTGCCAACTCTCAGAGCCCAGGCGAGCCTGGCTTGTCAGCCTGGGGGCTCATTCTACAGGAGTCACTTGGGGCTTCCAGTTCCCAATTATGAAATGGGAACCATTTTGGCCAGGAGTACAAACTTACCCATAGGACAACTTTTAGAAGTGAGGTTAAATACTGAGAAGCAAAAAGGAACCCAAGAACGAATTAAGTGCTAAATATGCACCTAATCAAATGGAATACTTTGCCAAGTAAAAGAAAAGTAATTGTTTACCTTTGCAATAACTTGGAAATGTATATTTGGAGAAAATAAAATGGAAAGACAGGAAGATGAAAATGTATGCTGAGTTGGAAGATTGATGTTTATAAGGTCACAGACACTATGAAAGTGAAATTACATTTCAAGAATCATATACTTCTCACCAAGAAATCACACTTAGGAAACAGTTTCATAACACTAAAAATGCTATTCAAGTCAGAAGCCCTTAATGAGTTAAAAGAAATAATAATTTTCCAAATCAAGGGCTAAAAGGAAGCAGAACGGGGTAGCTTGCTGATTTTTGTTTCCTCTTCTAGATGCCATAATTCTATCTTTAGAATTTCGAATTCTATCTTTAGCTATGATGCCTCTGTAGGGCGTTGTTCTGCATGCACATTTGTATTTTATCTATGTATTTTTTTTCATGTTTTTATTAGTATTTGGCTTCTGTAGACTTTGAAATAAATGTCTAAATATAGTCTCATTTTCTAATGTGAATGTGATCTGGAAGTTACAAGTGTCATTTATGTGCCAGTCTAGCCAATGTCCACGTGGGAAATGTCCATGCTGTGCTCTTGCCCACAGGTCAGCAATTGCCGCAGGGCTCCAGGGCTACAACGCCACCCTGGTGGGAATACTCATGGCTGTCTTTTCAGACAAGGGTAACTACTTCTGGTGGCTGTTAGTCCCTGTATGTGTTATGTCCATGACTTGGTAAGTTGTACCTGGTTTGCAAAATGCCCTTAAAAAAATTTATAGGGGGGAGGAGGGAATGCGGAGCTACTGTTTAACGGGCGCAGAGTTTCAGCTTTGCAAGACGAAAAATGTTCCACGAATGGATGGCAGTGACGGTTGTACGACAATGTGAACGTACTTAATGCCGCTGAACTGCACACTTTCAAATGGTTAAAATGGCAAATTTTGTATTATGTTGATAACACAATTTTTATAAAAATAATTTCTTAAAATTTAGATTCAGGTTATGTCTATTGGAAATAGGAAGCACTGAAACACACTGATGCATGTGGCCCTCCACACACACCTCACCACCCATGATTCTGATGTATTTGGTCTGGGGTGCTGCCTGGGCACTGGGAGTTTTAAGGGCTCTCCGGGGATTCTAAAGCGCAACCAAAGTTGCGAACTAGCCCCTACATCAGTGGTCCTCAGACTTGCACACCGTCAGGATCACCTGCAGGGCTTGTTAAAACAGACCGCTGCTCCCCTCCCCAGGGTTTCTGACTCAGTCTGTCTGGGTTGGGGCCTGAAATGTGCATTTCTAACACATTCTCAGGTGATGCTGACGCGGCTGATCCAGAGACCACACTTTGAGAACCACTGTATCTATATGGACTCCCCTTACCCACCTGGCCTGCCCCTTCAAAAGAATTCTTTACTGCATTCAATTCAGTTGTTGTTTTGGTTTTTTTTTACCCTAAATCCTTTTAAATCTTTTTTTTGGAAGCAAACATTTCCTTCTTACTATAGCAAATTTAGAATATAAAGTACTAATATCCACACAAATGAGAAGAACAGCCCACTGTGGATGGTGTCTGCAGGAGGGCAGCTCACCCTGGCTGCTCCCATGGGTGTGTGGAGGAGAACCTACCGGCAGAGCCAACCGCCTCAGGAAGTAACTTCCGACCTGTCCTGAAGAACAGGCTCAGGGCAGGAGGTTTTTCCTGCAGGTGCTCACCACAGCCCCTCCCACAATCCAGGAAATCTGGTGTTCTGATCGTAAAATGATGGCTCCTTGATTAGGTCAACAGGTGAGAGCACAAAAGGAACCCAGAGACCATCTAATCCAATCCCCCAGGTTACAGACAAGGAAACTGAGGAATGGTACCTTGCCCAATGTCCCAGAGTTCATCGACACTAAAAACTATGCCCCCCTGAGTTTAAGATCTTTTTCCTCTAGCCCACACCGCCTGCATCCTCCCTTGGACAATTGTTTCTCTTTGTCAAAAATAGATATGCTGAATACTCATGGAGATGATATACAAGTTCAAGAACACAGTTGTCTCTGGTGGGGAAGGAGGGGCATATGATCAAGTGGGTTACACAGAGCTCTTTAACTGTGTTGTTAGTATTTTATCTCATATATCTTAAATACTTCAAACATATTTTTAACCCCCAGATACATAACTCACTGTGAGCAGCCCCAGGGTATAATCTTTTTAAAACCAAATAAGCTAAGCGTTTATTTTGGACTTTATTCTCTCTATGACACAATTTGTCCCAGGTTGCTTTTGGGGGGTTTTGTTTTGTTTTGTTTTTTCTGTGAAAAATTTGCCAACACAGCATTTTAGGGACTTTTGTCAATGACAGAAAACCTTTCATAGTACAGAGATTTCGTTTGTCAACCTGGCTTGTCACATGCACATTCTTACATTCTGTTCTGTTGTTGTTGTTAGCCCAATTTTCTCAAGTGCACTGAACTCCGTGTTCTGCAAATGGGACCTCCCTGTCTTCACCCTGCCCTTCAACATGGCGTTGTCAATGTACCTTTCGGCCACAGGACATTATAATTTGTTCTTCCCAAGCAAATTGTTCACACCTGTAACCTCAGTTGCCAATGTCACCTGGTCTGACCTCAATGCCCTGCAGGTAAGATGCACTATCTTCTCACATGCTCCTGGCTCTGGAAGATACCCAGCATCCTCCTTGTTAATTGTTCATGGGCGTCAGAGACTTATAGAGACTCAGTTTGAGGGTGGCCTTGCTGCCTCCATCTTGTCATCTAAAGCATTTGTTCTCCTCTAAAACTTTGGGCTCTAAGGGATTTTTTAAATGAATATTTGGTCACAGCTAACTTTTTGTAAAATCTGCTGTGCTAACTCCAGAGTATAGCTCCGTTGGAAATTAGATACCGTATTTCAAACTTGGCCCTTGTTTGGGTGAGCGTGACAGGGCCAGCACTTGAGGCAGGGCCCTCCAGCCTGGGGTTAAGTCCTCCATGACCTACCTCCTCCAACAAAAGAACTGGCTGCTTACTGTTAGATCCCATTACAGAACCTCTCTATTCTGCTGTTTCTTATGGTAGATCTCATAGTATATGTGCAATAATTCAGGGTTCTCAAGCTTTGGTAGGCATGCAAACCACTCTTTTTTAAATACCAATACAAGCTCCATCTCAGACTGCCTAAATTATAATATAATGTCTGGGGCTGGGGCCTGGGAACCTGTATTAACAAGCTCCCAAAATAATAGTGGTGTGGGACAGAGTTTGAGAACCACTATCATAGGATGTATACGATGTATCTTTTCACAGATGTGCATAGACAGAGCACTCATTCTTAAAAACCTGGTTAAACCAAATCAAATTCCAGCTCTTCCTACTGGTGTTTATTTAATAAGTCTGTTTAAAGTTTCTCGATTATTAAAAACAAGAGAACACTTGATATCAGAAGAAAACCAAAGACCTTATCTTTTTTAAAGTGCAAAAGACTGGCTTTCCCATTATCAGGTTATGAAACACCTTTTACTGCCCTCTTCTCTGAGCGATCAAAACATGGGAAGAGTTTTTTCTTTAGCTTCATTTCCAGAAAATGAATGGGAGCATTTGGAAATACCTCAGAAGAAAACTCAAAGATTTATTAGAGCTACCCATGAAAAATAACATTATAAAATAATATTAATTTATCTATCTAAAACTGCACCATCCAATACAGTAGCTATTAGCCCCATGTGGCTATTTGAACTTAAAGGTAAATTAGTTGAAATTAAATAAAATTTAAAATCCAGTTTCTTAGCCTCACTAGTCACATTTCAGGTGAACAGCACAGACGTAGAATATTCCATCATCACAGAAAGTTCTACTTGACAGTGCTGATCTGGGGACGTGGCGGTCTTGTCCTTCCCACTCTGAACTACCACCCCATCATCAGCATACTTATTTCCCATCTCACCCAACTCCCCACCTCTGTGGTTACCTGAGGGAAGTTCTGCTGTCCAGTTCTAAGATAAAAGCCTATGCAGTCTTTGCTTGTGTCAAGTTCCCTGGTCTAGAAGAAACAGGAAATGGTCTTGTATGTACATGAAGATCCACCAGGGGCCAGAAGAATTTAGGGCCTATCCTAGAGTAGGCTCAAACTCACAGTATGGTCTGGTGTGCTGAGCAAGGACTAAATCAGCGTTTGGAAGCCAGCATTAGACCCAGCCTAATGCAAGAAGAGAGAGGGCCCTCCTTCGTGCCCAAGCTGGACCTCACCCATCAGACTCACTGCTTCTCAAAGGTCCTTGCCAGAAGGTACACATGTGACCTAGAGAAGGTGGAGGGAGCGAGATGGGAGCTGGGGAAGGCAACTTTCAGTAAGTGGCCTTGGTCAAAAGGGAACTAACATGGCTAATTTTGCCTATCCTGCCTCTACCAGAAGGGTTGCTAGAAAGAATTTTCGTTTGTTAGCTTGAGTCAAACTCTGTACCATTCGGAGAACTGCCATTCTGTGAACACAGTAGCTGAATTCAGGCCTCAGCCAGAAAGTAGAATTGTGGCATTTACATGTATTTTGTGTTTTGAGGACTATCTGACGTTTGTTAATAAGTTAAGGATATCCTAGTTTAAATTAATATACGTTCTTGTTAACAACAGAAGGGTAAATATGGTCCTGATTCATGAACTTGCCAATAATTGTTTCTGAATTGTGGATAAAATAACCTGACTTCAGGTCTCTGGCGTCACTATTAACAACCAAATTGCATGGGAGTAATAGCATTTCTGTTGACTATAGGAATGTGTTGATGTATTGGCATCAGCACTGACAGACAGTTGAAAGTGCTAGAAGTGTAAGCTGTGGTCCCTGCCATCCTCTCTGGGAGGCATGGCAGATCCTCACAGTAGTGGGTAGTGATACTGGGAGCTCAGCAGCAGCCAAGGCCAAGTGTCTGTGCCAGCAGTAGAGCCAGTGAGTGAAGGGGAGTTGAGAAGGCATGCTCAGCATGCACCACGGAAGAGCTGATGTGTCTCAGGGGATAAAGCAGAAGAATGACTGAGATTTTTCTGTAGTTAGAGAGAATTTTAAAAATTAATAACAATGATCTTGAAAGATAAGACATGCTAAATCTATAATTACATTGTATGTGTTGGTGGATGTCCTGTGGGTTTCTGTTCAATAATTTTAATGACCTCATTTTCTAAATTGTTTTTGCAGTTATTGAAATCCCTGCCTGTGGGTGTTGGTCAGATATATGGCTGTGATAATCCATGGACAGGGGGCATTTTCCTATGTGCCATCCTGCTCTCCTCCCCACTCATGTGCCTACATGCTGCGATCGGATCATTGGTGGGGGTAATAGCAGGTAATCATAAGACTCGTTACCAGATATTGAACATCTCCTCCATCCCGTGCATTGTCTCAGGCATCTTCTATGCTCCAGACCTTTCTTGAGGGCTTTGCTTCTAAGGGACCAACGGGAGTTCTCGGATGCTTCCCCCACCCCCAGACTCCCTCCAGAGCATCCCACCTTTAGTCCACAGCTCTGACCCCTCCTGCCTTGCCTAACAGGAATCAGTCTTTCGGCTCCATTTGAGGACATCTACGCTGGACTCTGGGGTTTGAACAGCTCTCTGGCCTGCATTGCAATTGGAGGAATGTTCATGGCACTCACCTGGCAAACCCACCTCCTGGCTCTTGCCTGCGGTAAGTATCCCATGTGTCTGGGGGAAGGGTTGCTCATGATTATGGGATAAAAATCAAGGAGAAACAGTAAAGAAGGACAGAGTGAGAAACTAGGGTTGGGGTTCTAGTTTGTGCCCCCTGGTATCTAAGTTATCTAAAGTGCATGACCAGGGCAAGTGACATCCCCTCTCTGGGAGGAGTCAAGTCTGCTCTGCCTACCTCACTGGTTACCATGAAGACAGGAGAGCCTATTGAGTTGTATTAACCATTTTAGAATATGTATATGTTGGGGGATAGAAACTTGACATGCCCTAAGTTCTTCTTACTAATTCTTTGACACAAGAATGTAGACTCAAGCTAAACACAGAGTCATTTCCCCAGCTGAATCAGGTGGGATTACATGTGACCCTTTGAGAATCACATTCATCCAGCTGTTCCCAAACTTGAGCGTACATCAAAATCACCTGGAAGGCTTGTTAAAGCCCAGATTGCTGGGCCCCACCCCTAGTCCCCGATTCATTGTCGGAGGTGCGGGAAGGGGTTTGCATTTCTAACAAGGTGCCAGATGGTGCTGATGGTGTTGCTCTGGGGACCACATTTTGACAACTACTGTATTAATCCTTTCTTTAAATCCCCATATTCTACCCAGACTCAGACTGTCAGAGCTAGAAGAGGTTCTGGAGATCTCCACTCCATCCTTCTCATTTCACTATTAGGGTACTGAGGCCAGAGAGGTAAAGTGATGTGCTGATAGGCATCCAGTCAGTTAGGGGCCAATGCAAACCCAGAATTCACATTTGCTAACAACCTCCAGACTTATTCCTGCTACACTTCTCTGCTCCGTTTGGTAGCATTCATGCCTTTAGGTGAAAACAGACCTCAAGTGATTTGGATTTGAAAAGCTAATGGATTTCTCAGGCCATTATAAGGGGAGGCTTGTTCACCCACAGCCTCTGGCACCACTAATTCAATAGAAGTGAAAGTATTTAAGGGGCCGGCCCTGTGGCCTAGTGGTTGAGCTCCCTGCACTCCGCTTCAGTGGCCCAGGTTCCGTTCCCAGGATGCAGACCTACACCACTCATAGCAGCCATGCTGAGGCAGCAACTCACACACAAAAGAGAGGAAGATTGGCATGGATGTTAGCTCAGGGCAAATCTTCCTCAACAACAACAACACAATGTATTTAAGATAATGTGCTAGAGTGAAGGGAATGACACTCCCTGGGGAACAAAGGAGCAGAGGAATAGGGGAATGTGCAGAAATTATTTCTAATGTTATGGATTAGAGTTGGTTTTTGACCAGATTAATCAATCCAAGCTATCTAAATCATTATTAAAATGGTGGACTACATGTCAGGCAGGATTTAGAGAGGACTCCTTGATTGTGCAGGAGGTAGGATAGGACCAAGGATTTCTAAGGCGTCATTCAGTTTTGCTTTTCCAATGCTTTAGCAAGGTTAACAAAACCTGGTTATAGGGTGTTTCCATTTACCCATCATTTTGTCAATTTCTTTATAGTTACAGGGCTATTTCACCTAAGAGCCCTGTCAAAACCTTTTGCTCGTTTTCCCATATTTGTTTATAAGCTTAGGGCACAGGAGAAGTTATGGACAGATTCTGTGGCCACTTGAGTTCAGCTGGATTAGACTCTTTTATCCTACAACCTTCTATCTTTATTCAAAGATTGGTTTGAAGTTTCAAACCTTTATTTGATGGGCATACCTTTGTGTTGACTGTAGCAGCAAATTTGTATTAAATCCTCGTGTTGCCACCTTGACAGTACTAGGCAGAGCTGGGGGTTTAGAAGCTTTAGATGCCATGCGGTTCCTGCATACAGAGGATGACATAGTGGAAGGCATAGACGAGGTGAGTCAGAAAGGGAGCCCACAGGAGACCATACGATGTTTGTAGCAGAACAAGGAGACACGTACAGCACACGATTCTTTGGGAACACTACAGCTCAGAATCATCAAGAAGTACCTCCTGGAGAAGGTGGCTTTTCTATAAGTCCTAAAAATTGAAAGGAGGAATTCTAACTGGTGGAGAGAATGGTCTAGACCAGCATGGGGACAGCCTGAGTATATCCTTAAAGACCAAGCAGAAACTATTTTTGGTCACAAGAGTTGTTGATGAGGTCTTGACAGACCACGGAGAGGGATGAAACCAAAGATGTTTACAGGTGTTTCCCCAAAGCGGGAATATCTTTGTTATTTTCATTTTTATAGAAATCATACATTTATTGTACAAAGTGGAACAAACAAAAGATCAGTACAGGAAAGTATAAAGCAAGAAGTTAAAATATTCCATCCTACTCCCTAGATATAATTTTTTGCCTCCCTCTTATAAGGATCCTGTGATTACTTTGGGCCCACTTGGGTAATCCAGGATAATCCTATCTCAAGATATTTAACTTAATCACATCTGCAAAGTCCCTTTTGCCATTTAAGGTGACATTCACAGGTTCTGGGCGTTGGCATGTGGACATCTTTGGGGGCCATTATTCTGCCTAGCATGCCTTGCTTCCTTTGGATAGATCAGATTTTCTTTCTTAGTGTAGCATAATGGTTAAGGCAGTATATTGAATTAGTTAAGAGCCCGACCCTGGTCCCAAAATCCCAGCTCTGCCAATTTTAGTTTCAATAAATGCCAAATTCACCCACACAAAGGCCATACCAGTCTCCCTTGCCACCAACAGTGTGTGAGAGTACCTATTACTATCAGTCTTTTTCATCTTTGGACATAAAGTTTTCAGACAGACCTCCAGCCCCTCTCGTAAAGCAAATCTCACATGTAAAATGTCACAGCGAGTTTCACCTTGCTTGCATCACCCTGATACTGCCAGTCAAAAGACCAGCCTTGTCAGCCAAGGTAAATAAATAATAGACATTTATTACAGAGTTGCTCTTCCATTAGTTCAAATGGCTTTATCAGGAAGAAACCTTGGGAAACTCTGATAGAAACTATCAATGCTTCCTTCCCTGCCTGTAAACTAGAAACTGCATAGCCAGGAAATTCCTCATTTTTATTTTATCAGTGCAAATTGTAAACACATTTTGTATTTCTTTTTCATGGTTGGGGTGTCATAGTAGGACTCACATGTGGTGGTCTGTTGGAAGGGATGTTGTCTATGAAGAGCTAAAATCCAATCTTCCCTTGAGCGCTGAAGGGCCTCTGCTCTCCCTCAGTTACCCAGCACACTGGCAGGGTCATCACCTCCAAGCCATAGTGGGCAGATTCCACTTCTAACGTGAGGCTTTCCCAGGCCTACTCAGCAAGTCTTAATTGGTGGGCAGCTACTATTAAATTGTGTGACACTCATTCTGGGAAGAGAAAAACAACCTGGGATTGAATATCACTTCAAAACAGCATAACAATATGAGACTTGGGTGCCAAAAGCATGCCTTAGAAGTACAATAGGTATTAAAAAGAGAAAAATGGCAATAAGTTCTCATGTGCTAAGGGAAAGTGTTGTAAGAAGAACTGGTACTCAAGAAAGTAGGGACAGAGTGTCCCTGGTGCTTAGCCAAGGGCCAGTGAATGTTTGTTGGATGAATGAATGAATGAATGAAATGGAAAAAATAAATGAAATTAGCAAACCCAAGCAAAGAAACTCTTCCAACCCAAGCTATTGCACCCTTCCGCTCACAGCAGTATCTCAGTCCCATGGTGACAGGCATGAGTTTACAGCTGCTGTTTGTGGAAATACATGAGTTCATTCAAGATACATCATCTCCCTGTAAAGCATGTCTTCAAGTTGCCTTTTTACAGACAACGAACCCAGATTCCAAGAAGTTCAGTGATTTGTCATCAACAAACAAAATGGCAGAGCTGGGATTTGAAGCCAGGACTGTTTCCAAAGACGAACCTTTCCCACTAGCATGAGACAATTCACATGTGAAAGAATTAGGTATACTGTTGAGCAAGAAATACCAGGACACAAAGACGAAATATTGATGAAAGGACAGAAGTCTATAGTAAAGTAAATGAGGATCACAGAGTCTCTCCCATCACTTCCTGTCCTGCCCCCCAACATAGCTGATGCAATTTCTCACTGGACTTGAAGACTAGATGGTGAGTGTGTCTAACAGTGAATGCTGGTGGCCCAAGTGGCTGTGTGGCCATTGTGTGGAGGTCATTCTTCAGACTGTCTCTGTGAACCCTAAGGGCTTCCCTGAGCCATCTTCAGCCCACTCTTCAACCAAAATGCACGAATTGATGATTTGCTAGTTGAGAACTTTCTTTTCATTATTTTACATAGAAAGGCACACATACACTCAAATTAACCACTCTAAGATTCGTGCTTACTCTAAGTAAATTAAAACATAGCATGTTTATACATTGACCTGTATGACAACTTTAATGGTATTTAGAAAAATGTTATTGTGGGAAGGAATCTCAATTTTGTGTTCAGTTTCTGCTGATCTCTGAGTTACTGCCTTCTTATTTTTTTATACCATGATTTTTTGTAGTGAATTTTAACCAATAATATGAGAATCCTAGATGCAGTGAGATTGTATAGAAACTATGTATATCAAGAAACATTCATAATTTTCATTTTAATTCACCTGTGCTTGGATAAAATAACAGGGAAGTTTATTTACCATGGAAGGCCTTAAGTATTAGCAATAGCAGCAATAAAATAGTAACAATGGAAAAGCTACCTTTATTGAGTACTTAATATGTGAGCACAAGCTTTATGTCCGTTCGTACTCACACCTACCCCATGAGACAGATATTCCTATTACCTGCATTGTACAGGTGAGGAAATGGAGGCCACCAAGCTCCCAAGTGGTGGAGTCCAGATTTGAACCCAGAGCTGCTGACTCTATGCTCATACTTATAACCAGAGTGCTGGGCTAGCTGGTGAAATATGGAAGTTTACATTCCAGGGGATTTACACCAGAAGACAGTCTTTCCTGTGATGAAAAATGTGCCTACAATCATTGTTCTTTCCTCTCTTTTTTTGTTTTTGTAGCCCTGTTCACTGCCTACCTCGGAAGCAGCATGTCAAACCTGATGGCTGTGGTGAGTTTGCTTTAATCTCACTTTATCATCAGCGTGATTGATCAGATTTCAATGATATGGGAACCCTCTTGAAGTCTACCTGGGTGGGCTCCCAGGGCAGGATCTGTGACTGTGATGGCCACTAATTTCCCATCTCCTGGACCTTCCTGTCCTCACTCACCTTCCAGCATCATAGTAAATTTTAGCCCAAACTACAATCACCAGGCTCGTTAAGAATATCAGATTCCTTGATTTAAAAAAGTGGAACTTAGTTTGCATAGCATATTATCAAGTTCATAGCCTAACTCTGAGTGTCAAGAAGTTGACTTTACAATACCTTTTACTTAAACAGAAAGGCAAGATTACGTAGTAGTTGAGAAGTCAGGAAAGGGAGGAAAAGGATAATTGGCTAAAGACAGATACTTTTTAATGAAGTCAATAGTTTTTCATATCCCTTTTTTTAAAATCCCCAGTCAGTCATTAAGACTTATTCAGACCCACGTCCTGGCTGAATTATTTAATAGGCAAAATCCTTGCCCATTAAGTACCTCCTGCCACTCCTTCTCCTTCCTTTTCAGCACTGTCCTACCCGTTGACCTCCTCCTTCCCCTCCCCTGAGGAGCCCAGTGTCCCCTGACTGTTCCAGGACCCTCCACCTCCCAGTGCTCTGAACTTTTTTCTCTTACCCACCATTGCTGGTGATGCAGGGCCGGTTTCTGATAGCTCAATCCACGTTGATGTGGTCATGGCTGCTAATGGGTCAGGACAGTATCTAGCCCTCTCAACAGCAGCATAGAGAGTTTGTCTGGGAGAGTCCTTCTGGAGACACAATATCTTTCTGGTAGAAAGTCAAAGCTCCCATCCATGATGGAAAGTTCATTAGAGCATTGTGGGGCCCTTTGCGTCCCAACAGAGGTTCACAGACATCAGTCCATGGATCAGAATTGGGCAGGCTGCACAACAGAGTCAGCTAGGGAGATTTTGAAAGATACAGACCCTTAGGCCCTGTTCCTTGGCATTTCTGATAGAGCAGATCTTGTATGGTGCTTGGGCATCTGTGGTTTTTTAACTCTTGTTCCCCATGATTCTGACGTGCAGTCAGGTTTGGGTACCATCACACCCAAGGGGGGGGTCGATGCATTGGGCCAGACCTAACCAACTGCATGATGTATGCTCAGAATTGCATGAGTTGCCATGGACAGCACAGAAGAAGGACTTACCCACAAGGAGTTTAGAGCCTATTTGGGAGATGGAATGAAAAGAAGTAAAGCAAGTAGAGTCTAAGACCTGGTCTGGATGGAAGTCAAGGAGAGAGAGGTCATGAATGATGACATTTCAACTGCTAAATGCTCTAAGATCTTAGACTCAGTCTCCATGGACATAAGCAGAGTCCAGAACAATACCCCAGTGACTCATTCCCCCTGGGTTGAATAAGAATAGAGTGACAGGTAGTGCTTTGTGAACATGCGCTTTCTGATGGGATCTCAAAGGAACATGTGGCTTGTCTCTTCTTCTCAGGTTGGATTACCATCTGGTACCTGGCCCTTCTGTTTGGCCACACTGTTGTTCCTCTTGCTGACCACGAAAAACCCCAACATCTACAAGATGCCCCTCAGTAAAGCCACTTATCCTGAAGAAAACCGCATCTTCTACCTACAAGCCAAGAAAAAGATGGTTCAAAGCCCTTTGTGAGAGCTACCTCCGTCCACGTTCATGGTCACAAGTCATTTCCAGGGTCTCAGCAAACCTGTTTTTCACTAGTAACAACTTTCATTCTAAACCATCAGTTATCTGTTCTTATGCTTATTTTGTATTTTTCTTTTAGACTCCAGGAACATCCCCAAAGATGTAAGAGACACATCCAGATGATGTGCCCTGGCTACGGAATTTTAAACCCTAGTGGGACATTGGCGCTAAGACTGTAATATATTTATAAAGTCAAAATACTCCAACGGAAAGAGGGAGTGAGACTGGACTAATTATTAATATTTATTAATATTCTTGGTGTTTGGTTGGTTACATAATATTAACAGTATTAAAAATTAAGCTCTATAAACCAATCAAGACTTAAGTGAATGGAATTCAAGGTCATGAAATCAAAGTCAACTCAGAATTCTCAGATAAGCAGTTCAGCTTATGAAAAATCAATGCAAGTTACACATTACAGCTCTGGTCAACATCACAGGGGTGCAGGCTGATCACACAGCTGGCTCCCCAGTGACTCACCAGAATGGCCTGGATGCTGTCCACTGTGTGTGTGGCATTCTCTTACAGGAGATCATTGGTTTTTCTCAAGCTGACAGAGTTGCAGAAAGGAAAAAGGGATTTTGTCAGTCAGAATTATTCTATACTGTCACGTTTTTCTTGGAGATTGCAAAGGATTTTTTAGGTAGAATTTATTATTTTTTTCTTATGAGAATGGATTTGTTTTCAATAAGATAAAATAAGAGAAGATCCTGGCTTTACCAGTTCCTGGATATTAAAGAAAAGTTACATTTTTATAAATACTCCTCAAGGCTATTTTTATTTTAAGCCCCAAGTTGATTTTGTAAATGCTATGATTGCATAGAATCAAGTCGTCAACATCCGAGAGCCCTTTAAGGTCACATTTTCAATTCATCTGAGCATGTCTTACATGTTATAAAGACTGAAAGTTAAGGTCAGCTTGTTCCTGGGTGCTTAGAAGTTGTTGAATTTCTTACTTTAAAAGAATTCATTATTTTCTACACACAATATTCTTGCTCAGAAACCAATGGCATTTGAACCTCCAAAAAGAAATACAGATAACGGGTTCTCTTGTTTTTCTTTTTTTTAATTTAAAAGTTATCCGTCCTATAAAGATTCTATGACTAAACATGCTGAAGATGGAGGTGGAAAGTTATCATCATTACTATCCACTTCGGTGTGTATCAATTGAGTATTTTGGAGGATTCAAAAAGTGAAACAGTGGAAGCCTAAAGATTTTCTTTTCTCTTTGGGTTTGCAGTGATCCGTGCAAAGCACACAGTTTGCTGAATGAATAAACAAAAGGGAAGTAAACCTAGAAACATTTTAGGGAGAAGTTCAGTTCTTCCTTATCTCAGGAAAACAAACATTGTTCTGATTGAAAAACCCTGTGACCAAAGCCTTTTGAAACCATGAATTTGCAACTGTCATAGAGTCCTGGATATTCCTGTGGGAAAATGAAATTTTCAGTGTTTGAACTGAAATCTCCCTTGTTAGGGATTTTGTGAAACAAGAGTTGGGTGGGGGGACAAAAAAGCAAGCATAACCAAAGAGAACCAGGAGTGAGGAACCCGGGCCATGGCGAGTGAACCTGAGGCCTCTAGAACATCTCCAAGTCCGCCTTCAGAATGGAGCTCCAGTGTGCTAACTACACACCTTCTTCCCCGTGCTCACACAGCCTTGTAAATAGGAACATTTAAAAGCCTTGTACATTGTCTAATTTAAATAATACTAATTTTCTCAAACCATTTTTGTTACTAAATATTATCCTAAAATTAAGTGAGTATTTTATTAGTTTTCTTGGGGAGCATTTGTATTTTTCCTATTGTCTGTAGAACAAATTTCTGTGTAAGAATATGAATAAATTATATTCACAGGTCAGTTGTGTGTAAGTGCTGTTTAAAGGCCATGTATGCCTTTTATAGCTATTGTGTATATTAAAAGTCCCATGCATAAGTATGTATGGCTTCCATCTCAATGTGCCAGACTCCTTATTCCTTTCTTATACTTGGTAATGGCACCAGATGTATAGCTGAGCAAAGCCTGTTCAGTTTCAGATTTATGAGCCCATCCCCTCCGGTATCATCTCAACTATCCATTGTTCTCCTCACTCAGGGATGAGAATGATTACTGAGGGCAGGTACAGCTGTTCAGAGCATGCTCCTCGCACTTTGAGATGAATATCTTGAGAGCCAGTTTCCACACATTCCCAGACAGGCCCTGGGTACCCCACCAGGGCTGACCCTGGGCCATGGTATGCCTCATGGGTCAGCTCTCTACAACAAGCCACTTCTCAGAATGTTATCCCCTGAGGGTGAAGTCCCCTGAGGGTGAAGCCACCAGCTGTGCTTGTCTCTACCGCCTGAAATGCTTCTCTTCCACCTCCTTTCCTCCATAGTTAGCATAGTTGAAAGAAAACATAGTAAGAATGGAAACATACTCCAACAAGCTTCAAAAGCAGCCCAAAGAAGAAACAAGAGGCCACCATGGATTGGTTGCATCGGAGTGCTGTATGTCAAAACAAAACCTCTCCTACCTATTGTTTCAAAATAATAAGTTTATGAGAGTGATCTGGTCATTAAATCCCCACTTTGGTCTGAGGTAGAAAACAGAGGTTTTGAGGCTCTTTTGCTAAAGATTCCAGATACTATTTATCTTTAGGAGCTACAGGTGTCTGCTTGTTATCCATGACACCTGATTAGCATGGAACACGTTGAGATCGAAGGTTAAATTCCATAGGAGATCAGGAATTTCCAAAGGAGCTTCTTACAGACAACCTTGCAAGAATGTTTTTGTGGTTTTTAAGTACAGAACAAGGTTTTATACAGATGAATGTTTTCAGTCTTATCTAACGCTATGGAACAACTCCTTCCAAAACACTTGAACTTTAGAGTTACATCTCCTTCTTGAACGTGCATGGACAACCCCCAGACCATTAGAAGTCTTGTAGCTTCAAGGCTACAGAGTTCTATTTACTAAAACAATCAGGAGATTCTGAAGGAATCTAAACAATACAGTAAATAAAAGAGTTTTAAAGAAGTGAATATAAGTCCTATAATAGCCTGCCTTCACAGCTTGTAAAATTGAACTATAACATACATAGACTGGATCAGAGAAGACATATGCAAAATCATCTGAAAGAAAATATTGCTCCCAGGCCTGACCTTAACATTATTAACCAGGTAAGTGTTAACAGAACTAAAGCGAACTTACAGCTGATGGGGTAGCAGCTCAACCCCTGAAGTTTAGGAGTTGGAGGCAAAAGCGAGGCAGGGGGTCTTTAGCACTGGGGATGGTGGCCCAGGAACAGGTGTCAAGGGAGATCTCTGCGGTGAAACGAGTGCAGTGGTGTATCATGGTTTCACCAATTTAGTTATTTAGATCAAGCAGCTTATGCCTGTTGTCTGATCCTGTACTTACAAGCTATTGACTTCCTGTGTAGATTTGCCTTCTAGGGGAGAAAATGTACTTGTCCAACATGAGTTTCTGATCCTGGATAGTTACATTTCTCATTTGAATTAATAATTTAACTTCGATTCATATGTCTTTTGAAGTTTTATTTTCCTGTATGTGTCACCAAAAGCCAAATCACCCCACGGTGTTCCAAGACAGTTAATTCTGAGGCTACAAAGGTTGGGGTGCAGTCATGGAAGGCCTCCCCAAGTATGTGACATTTAGGTTGATACCTAAAGAATAGACCACAGATAGGCAGGTGGAGAAAGGCAGAGGTTGGAGGGAGCGGTGTTCTTGGTGGAGAGAACCTTGTGGATAAGGGCCATGAGACAAGAAGGAGGTTGGTGCGTTCAAGGAGTGAGAGAAGACTGACATGGCAGGAATACAGTGAGTGAAAGGGCATTGGAGTGGACGTGGGAAACCAATTAGAAGGCCATTGCAGTAGTACAAGAGAGAGGTGGTTGGCTTGGACTCCAGCGGTGGCTGCCAGGGATGGAGAGAAGTTTACAGATGTGAGAGACAGGACCTGAAATCCTCAGTACCTAGTGATGGATTGATGTGGAAGGTGAGGGAGAGGGAAGTGCGGAGGATTTCCAGCTTGGGCAACAAGGTGGACAGTGGTGCCACACAATGAGATGTGAGCACTGAAGAATCCCTGTTCTCATGCTACACATTCTTCCTGGCCCATCCTTCTCAAGCTTCAATCCAGACTTTATGTTCAACTGTCTAAAGGGACTACTCCAAAAACACCTCCTGAGTTTCAGTACATCCAGAACAAAACTCATGTTCTTCAACTATTCTGCTCTCCGTCCCATGTAGACTCACGGGGGAAGGTGGCACACTCTAGCCAACCACATAAGCCAGAAACAGTGAGCCATTCTTGACTTCATCCTCTCACCTCTAGGCAATAACCAAATTCTAGGGATTCTACCTCCTTGATAACCCCATTCATTCATTCATTGGCAATGAATGACTATTTATTACATAACAGGAACTGGAACTGCAATAGTGAACCAAACAGTCATGGACTTTACCCTCACAAGAGCTTTATGAGGTGAACTGATAAGTAAATGGAGTAGTTTGGTGATGAGGATAAGTAAGAGGTAGCCAGGTGACAAGGTTGAAGGAAGAGTTATTCCAATGCCTTTTTCCTTCTAAGAAACAGAAGACAAGAATATAGCATTAAATACTAGGCATCTGTACCATTTAGAATGCTTTTGGCAGCAAGTAACAGAATACCTGTCTAATGGTGGTTTAAATAACAGTAGTTTCATTCCTAAAAGTAGGAAGTTCTGGAAGTTCTATTCCAGATTTGGTGCAGCTGTCCACTGATGTCGTCAAGGATGCAAGCTCTTTCCATCCTCCTCATGATTCTCAGCATCCTCAGAAGACTCCACTTTCATCCTCAGGCTTGTTGCCTCATGGTCCCAAAATGGCTTCCTTGGTTACGAACATCACAACCACATCAGGAAGAAGGAAGCAACCAGAGTCACAACAGAGTCATTCTCTCATCACTCTCTTTTTATCAGGGAGCAAAGTCTTTCCCAGGAGCTCCCCCAAAATAATTTCACTGGTGTCTTTTAGGCAGAACTGGGTCATATGGCCATTCCTGACTGCAAAGGAGTCTGGGGAAGCATGTATCTGTCATTGTCAGCCTCTATTGTAGCAGGCACCATATCGTAGCGGGTGAGCACTGCCATATTACAGCAAAAGCAAGAGGAACAGCTATTTGACAGGCAGCCAACATGTCTGCCACAGTGGTGTATAGTGCCACCATATAGTATACAGTACCTATGTGCCCAGACCACACTGGAAAGAGCTATGTGGAGACAGACAAGATCGTCTATTGTGGGATTCACAAAAAAGTTTGGGACAGAGACCTAGACCAAGACTTTTTACACAGAGATACTTTGTGGAATACTTCCTGGGATATTCCCAGAGTACATTAGGATACCCCAGCTTCATACAAGGTTTTGTAGTTTCTGACAGACAAGATTCTCAGCAAAGGGTGAGACAGCCAGTGATAATGATTAAAGCAAGGAAAGCTTAGGGTCAATTCATGTTCTAATTAGTCCTCTTGATCTAACAGTTGAAGCCTCTAAATCATTCCATGTCAGAAGGCCCCACTGGAAATAGCTGTGTTTCAATTCAGTTCCAGCTCAATGAAGCACTAAAAACAAGTGTCGGACATTTTCTGCTTCATGGTTCCAAATAAACAAGGAGAAAGCCAGTTTCCTGCTTGGGTTGGGTCTGTTGGATCCTAGCCCACAGAAGCTTTGAATTATATCACAGTGACATGCAAGGACATGAAGGGGAAAAAATGACGCATAGAGGAAAGGTGGCACAGTGCCAGGAAACTTGGTTAAAGTTAATTCCCTCAGAACACAAGAAACAATGGCCACTAGGACGTGAGTTAGTGGCCCAAGAGCGAGCACATCTTGGGGCAACAAGAGCACACACAGGCGGGTCATGGGAGTGGCCACTCCAACAAGGAGGCCTTTCCATATTCTGAGACCCCACGTTGGCCTTTCCACCAGAGGCTAGATCTTTGGTAGCAATAGCCACATGCAGCACTTGAAATAAAGCTAGCCCAACTTGAGGTGTGCTATAGGTATAAAGCATACTGGATTTCAAATAGAAGGACAAGAAAAATGTAAAATATCTCAATAATTTTTATATTGATTAAATGTTGAGATGACAATACTTAGGATACATTGGGTTAAACACAACGTATCATTAAATTAACTTCACCTTTTAAAAATGTTTTAATGTGGCCATTAGAAAATTTTAAATTACATATATGACTTGCATTTGTGGCTCACATTCTATTTCTATTGGACAGTGTTGGGCTAGACAGTGCCCAAGACCTAGGCTCTTAATGGTTTAGTAAGTCTTTATGGCAACTCAGATGGCACTGGGCTGTTGGAACTCACTCTTCTGGAGACGTCATTCTTCCCTTTGAAAGAATGATGGGTAAGAAGCCTTTCCTCTGTTACATTGTGGAGACAGAGCTAGCTAATTCTGGAGACTTTATCTCAAATCTATGAGTTCAAAGATTATAAATGTAATTTCACGTAAAATTTTACACCTTTCCAGGAATACCCTGTATACCTTGAAGGTGTAATTTTCTAAAAAATAATTATTACATGACTATAGAGTAAGGAGACTGATTTTCTTGTGGGTGGTATAAAGTTATTCTGAAGTACCTGAAAAGGAGCCTCAGAAACATTCAGATCTACGGCAGCACCATTGGGATAAGTGGGCTGCATCCCAAAGCACCCATGTGAAGGATGCCATCACCCAGATGTACAAGTGGTCATCAATCAGAGGCAATGAGAAAAGTGAAGCACTTGGTTATAATACAATAGGGAATAGCGGGGACTGTGGCAAGTTGAAGACTGCACATCCCCACCTAAAAGTGTTCACATTCAGATTTTTTTAACACTTTGCTAGCCAAACAAAGCCCATTCTGGAAGTAGATTTCTTCTGTGGGCTCCATTTTGCAACTTCTATTCCCAGACACAT